GGCGCCTGAAATCTGCACGATTGTTCTCCATCCGCTTGCAACGGCTGGACTTCGGCCTAATATGTCCAAGGGAAAAACGGAGCTTTTGCTGGAACTCAAGGGGCCAGGGGCATTGTCTGCCAGACGGAAGCTTGCTATGCAGGATAACATCTTCGACTTGAAGTCTGAGACAATATGTGAGCCGTTGCATGTGGTGGGTCATTATCGGCACCTGGGAACCATCCTACAAAAAGGAGGATCAATGGTGCTTGATCTGCGAACTAAGTTCGCTGGCGCACATGATGTCTTGACTCGCTTTCGAACACAAGTCTTTGCCAACAGAAAGATTGATCTGAGTTTGAAGTCGAACATGGTGAGATCCTTGGTCTATAGCACGATGATCTTCAGCAGTGCTCTTTGGATGCCACGGACCCAGAAGCAGATTCGCCAGCTCGAGCAAGGTTTTGGCAAATTAGAAAAACGAATTGCGGTTATGCACTTTGGTAAGCCAGCTCTCGAGTGGAGTGGAGCTCGGGCAAGAGCAGCCTTGGCCCTTCCCAGTTGCGAGCTTGTGCTCAGAGAGGCACGTCTGCGGTATATTATGCAGCTTATTCGTTCTGGGCAACCTCAAGTTTGGCATCTTGTGCAAGAAGAGACAATTTGGTACGCTAAGGTCCAGGAGGACTTGGAGTGGCTACAAGCCTTTTGCCCCGATGATGGGGTTCCTTCAGGAACTCCACAAGACTGGCAGTTGATGATGTGGTGGGCACACGAGAAAGGACAGGCATGGAAACGATTAGTGAGAAAAGGAGTTGCCAGAGCGAAAGCACATTTGGCTAGGCTCTCTGAATGGGCAGAATGGCACCGTGACATAGTTCTGGAGCTACAAGCGGCCTCGCTCTTGCCGATGGAAGTTGCTGGAAGCGAAGTCAAGGAGTTCTTCTGTGCATTATGCCAAAAGTGCTTTTCTAGCAAGGCAGCCATGTCGGTGCATTCTTTCAAAAGGCACCGTCGGGTTAATGCTGTTCGGCATTATGTGGAAGGCCTCCAATGTAAAGGGTGCCTGAAACATTATTCGTCGCAAATCAACCTCACAAACCATGTGAAAAGAAGTGAATCCTGTTTTCGAAGATATTCTGACGGTCCGTGTCTTTTAGACCCGCTTCCAGGTCTGAATAGCCGTGCGGCGGGCCGAAAGGAGACCACAATGCCAGACCCTTACTTCCAAGCTGAAGGTCCGTTGCAGCAAGCTGTGAGTATGGGACCATTTGATCCTGTCATCGATGGCGAGAAGCAGCGACTGGTTGCAGCCTGGAATGATGCGTTGGTACGTGGTCAGAATGATGGAGATCTTTTGACCATGCTGCAGAAGACCTTGTCCTCGTCCTTTCTGTATCCAGAAGAAATGGTCTCCTTACTTTCCTCATTCAGCTGTCAAGTAGCTGAAGATGGATTGACGCTCGGACAACTCATGACCCTGGAGAAGGCGCGGTCTCTTCTCTCGGCAGCATGGCTTTTTCAGCAAGGAGAAGATGGGCGGAGACACCAAGTGGATTACGTCAATGTGGTGTCACAAGCCGCGGCTAGGATGGAGACCTTTCCTTTGCCACTGAAGCGAATGCCAAAGTACCACCCTGTTATCTTTGCTCATATCTTTAGCGGAAGAAGGCGTGCTGGAGACTTTCAAGAGCAAGTGGAGCAAAGGGGAGCGAGAGCCATCAGCATCGACATAATTTTTCACGTTACGTATGGAGATTTGTGTCGCCCTCAGACTTATGACCTGTTCAGGCGTGCCTTTTTCGAGGATGTGATCTGGGGATTCCTCGGGGGGGCCTCCATGTGAAACGTGGTCACGGGCGAGAGGGAGGATGCTGGAGGGACGTGTTGCAGGTCCGAGACGTGTTCGACAGACTTGCAGACCTACTGGTCGACTTGATCTTACAGCCAAAGAAGACCAACAAGTTCGATTTGGTAGCCGGCTTCTAGGTGTAGCAGTGAAGATGCTTTTCCTTGCTGTTCTCACTTGCAAGACGGCTGTGCTAGAGCATCCTGCGGAAGATGGGCAGGATTTGACCCAACCATCAATTTGGAAGTTAGCCATATTCAAGCTGCTCCTCCGTTTTTCGGTTTGCAAGAGGGTCCGGGTGCTCCAAGGGCATTTCAACGCGACATCCCCTAAGCCGACGGAGTTTCTGCTCGTCAATGTGTGTGACGAAGCTGAGCAATTGTTTGTGGCTGGCCGATGTTCTTCCCTGCCTAAGGCAGTATCCATCGGTCTGAATGAGAAAGGAGAATGGCAGACTGCTCATCTCAAGGAGTACCCAGCAGCCCTATGTGCTGTACTTGGGGACATCTTCGTGAGAAGCCAGCCTCCGCCCGCAGATGGCATTCCCGTGCCTGATTGGTTTCTTGAGGTTTGTGAAGAGCTGACCGGGGACTTCAATCACGAAGCTGGCATGGGAATGGACTACTGCGGACAAAAAACGACCTAATTAGTTCGACTGCATGGCAGCCACAGACAGACGTCTCCGGCTTATGCGAAAGTAAAAAAAAAAAACAGAGTGTCCGTCCTACAAGACTACAAGAGTGCCCGACAAGAGTGACGTACAAGAGCGTCGCACAAGAGTGTCCCATAAGAGTCCTACAAGAGTGTTTCGCAAGAGTGTCCCACAAAAGTGTCTCCTACAAGAGTGTCAAAAATTGATTGGGCGTTTGTTTTCGAGTATGTGTTTGCACTCGGGTTCGGGGGTTCCATCTTGTTATTTCCAAGAAGTTATTGTTGAATTCTATTTGGAAGCCTATTCAAGTATGGGTTCTAATTTATTGGTTATATATATGGGTAACATGTTCCACCCTTAAAGACAATTAGTTCAAGTCGACCCCGCCCTTTGACGGGGCAAACTGGAAGGAAAAGTTGATGACTGCAGGCTAGAGCGGCTAGAGTTTATAAACTAGTCACGTTAGCATTCAGGTACTGTGGTTACATAGCCCCATGCAATGTCGTGGTTGCTTCAAAGCATCAATTAAAGCAGGACACAACGAGATCAGTGTTAATTTCACACGTCAATTGTGGCATCCGAATTCACCTTTCTGCATCAGACCTTCCAACAGGTCCTCATAGATTGTTTTTTTGAGCCTGACGAGGTTCTGTGAAAGTTAGGCATTGAAAACATGTGATTGAGCCTGTCGGGGTTTCGTCGGGTTTCCAGCTCATGTCCTGCATCAATTCCTTTTGACAAGGACACATCCAAATCAATGCTTTTACCTACCTGCCTGTATGAAAACCATGTTTGAAGATGTTTGAAGTAACCGTGACTATGTTTGCTCGGCCAATCACCGTCCAATGGGTCTGACACCTTTTATTCTTAACTTCATGTTGCAAGAACATGTTTGTAAAAAGGACAGAATTAAGCAAAAAAGTTCCTCTCAGAAACAAGAAAGTCAAGTGACAAACCTAATTAGACTTGGACGGGCTTATCGAAGACAAGGAACAGAACATCAAGTCTATCTTGTTGAGGAAAGAGGACAAGTAAATATCACTAGGGAAGGGTTGAAAAGAAAGCTGAGGAACCAACCAAGAAGAGTATGACTCATATAGCACATAGAAATTCAATTTTCTGGTGATAAGGAATGTGACTGCTAAATAAAAGAGATCAATGCAACATCTTTTGTGAATGAAAGGATACTCGGGCATGAGTTTGCTTGTTCAAAGTGCTCTGCTCTCCTTTGGAATCGGAGATTCAAAGCTTTTGTTGAATGAAACGTGTCTTCAGGGGTGCATGCATGATGAATTTCCTTTGACAGGAAGGCATCTAAATCAATTATTTCACTGATTTTAAGAAGACCCCTTTACTGACTGTAACCAATTGGGTTGAGCAAAGTTCCATGAAGGTGTTTGGCATAGAGGTGCCTTTCACGAAGGCTGAATTCAACTTTGCTGGTTGAAAGACTTACTCAAAGGACATGTTTTGGAATAGACTAGCTATACTTGTAGAAACAAGTTAAACATATTCTGTGAATAAAATAAGGAGATGTCTTGCCAAAAAAGTCAGGTTTTTGATATGTTAGCTGTGTATTAAGTAGACAGTGCTTTTAAGACGCACGAAAAATAATAGTATATAATAGGCCAAAGGCCAAAATAATTGTATGAAATTGATATACATTGTTATATATGTGTTTCAAAGGTCTCAAATGGTAGACCTTTGGGGGTGGGGGGGAGTAGCATACATATACATACACACACATAATATACACGGTATGTAGATTCTTCTTCTTAGCTTTCCTACACATTCTTACACTACAAATCGCTATGTCCGTTTTTCAGCCTTTCCATGGATGATCCTGGTCTTCCATCCTGACGAAAGTGACCATATGATCAATATGGCCTTGAAAGCATTTCAACTGTGCCAACTGGAAGGTTCTTGGGAACTCCAAAATCTTGAGGGTGGAACTGGAACGCATTGTCTCGTTTCCGTGTGGATTGGAAATTGATGTGTGTTCTGTGGATGGAGAGTAGACAGGACATTCCCCAATGTCCGCGGTTTATCTATATATACACATGTACATGTGAACCCTCATCTTCAAAACATGTAGGGCTTTGTGCCATCTACTCTGAAAACACTGTAAGTAATCGGGGGAGGGTCTGCATAGTTTAGGAAGGAACCAACGCGAATAGCGATCACCAACGTTTCGATGGAACAGTCTGCTCATGAAGGAACCCTTGGACCGAACATGCTTCATGCATGGGCAGGTCGAGACATGCGTAGACACGAAACCCAAAAAATATGGTTTCTCTTCATCCGGAGGGATCCAAGGTATACATCCAAGTACCTTCCTCCATGACAGTGTCTCCAATCACCTGAGAAGGTATGACTGGATCCCGGATGGGCATTCTTTTCTCAATCAAATCTTCAAGGCCTTCAGGGTGACGAAACCTGCGCCGTTGCCCGATCGACCCCGCAGTTGCCCATGGGGTCGATCGGTTCTTCGAGTGAAACTCGGTGACAGGGCCGATCCACGGCCTCCATCAAGTGCGATGGGTTGCCAATTCTTTCCACCAGGACCTCAAAAAAGAACGTTTAAAACAAAACAGGAGTTGCTTTCCTATGAGTGCGGTTTTATTTGGTGTTTTTTGGTTGCGTTTTGGGATTGCTTTTGCGGCACTGGTTATATATATATACTGTATATAGTTCCCTAAGTAAAACAGGAAAAGCGTTGCGGTTGTGGACTGTTTCGTGCGGTCGCGGTTTCTCTATAGCTCCTTCAGTGGAACTATATATATAATAAATATACGACTATACTGCCTAAAAGATCCTAAAAGTCCACTAGAACACGACCACCAGTAGAGCAGAAAGCAAAGAGTGAGAAGAATGAGAAAATCATACAAAGCTAGAAAAGAAAGCATAAACAACACTGAAAAAAAACAACTTATCAAAAGTGAAAGCAACAAAGACCTGAGAAAAAAATAACAATACGATAAGGAATCACTACGCCACGAAAATACGAGAAGAAGGAAAGTAAAGGAGAAAGCCAGGAAGAACAGCCAAGCGCAAAGAAGGACAAGTAAAACTAGCACAGAAAAGCACAACAAAAGCAAGAAAAGCAAGAGCAACCATAGAAAAGCAATGAGAAGCAATGAAGAGCAAGAATACCACCGAGAAAAAAAAACAAGAAAAGCGGGAGCACCCTTTCAGAAAAGCAACGAGAAGCAATGAAAAAACAAGAAAAGCCGTCAGAAACAAATCAAGTAAACAGTTCCCAAACTCAACAAAAAAACAAACAAAACCTCCGTTTCCTACTGTACCAGGCACTGCTCAAAAGTGCCCAAAGACTCGTTCGTCAACTCGTTCGTTGCCCAAGCAGCACTGAAGACCAACAATAGATCTTCCATCCAACCTGCCGGCCAGCTGAAACGCCAGTGTTTGTCCTTTGTCATTGTTGTTATGGGAAGAACCTGTTCCAAACAAACACCTCAGACCGCTCTTCTCACTCCAAGAACCGTCCTTTATCAAAAACCTCCAAAACACAGTCTGTCTCAAATACGTTTGTCTTATGCTCGTCCTGGATTCTGATGATGGAGAATGGAGAATCTCACTGCAAAGAGTAGATTTGGTGAATTATCAATTGCCTGGCAGGGTCCACAAGGAAGTTGAACGAGCTAAATCGAATTATATAGATTGTTGCATTTTCTGGATCCCACTTGCTGGTCAGGCCTGGCTGCGTGCAAAACCACCAAACCTCTAGTCCCAACGACTTGATCATCATCATCATCATCATCATCATCATCATCATCATCATCATCAT